GTAATATGCATCGTTGTTTTTAATACCAGGATTGAACCCAGGGCTTTCAACCACTGAGCCACCCCCCAGCCCTTTTTATTTTTTATTTTGAGACAAGGCCTCACTAAGTTGCATAAGGCCTCACTAAGTGGCTGAGGCTGACTTTGAACTTGCAATCCTCCTGCCTCAGCCTCGCAAGCTCCTAGTATTGCAGGCATGCACCACCTTGCCCAGCTTCATAATAAGTATTTTAAAGGACACTAATTTGGGGTCCCAAAGAGTGATTGTCAAGAGATCTTATTCATAGAAGGAGCCCCCCCCCCGCCTTTTTTTTTTGTGTGTGTGCTGCTGAGGATTGAACCCAGGGCCTTGTGCATGCAAGGCAAGCACTCTACCCACTGAGCTCTATCTCCAGCCTAAGGAGCCCTTCTTGACACCCCTAAAATTGCTTTGCTGAGGTCACCTTCAGGTGGGCTCATCCCCCACAGTTCTGGGGCGGGTGTAAGAAGGCTGAGGGGGGACACTCTATCCTAGTAATAGATATAGACTGCCAGGCCCTGGTCTCCTGATGTCCAGGTTTGCTTGCTGGCCTGTGTGTGATGCCCAAGGGCCTGCAAAGTCACCTCTGACTGGAGCTCCTAATTCAGGCCAGCTCACCCCTCCCCCCCAGCCCTTCAACACCTTCTCCCATTTCCTTTTATGGATTTTTTTCTTCTTCTTCCTCCTGCTCGGGAATTTTAACCAGTCTAGGAACCAGTTGCCTGCTCTCAGATCAATAGCCCTGGAGAGGGCTGCGGGTGGCCTCTGGGATGCACTTCAGCGGCTCCTGCAGACAGACCATTTTCTTCCTGACTCAGTTTCACTCAAATTAAGCCCCTTTCGCTTTTGAGAGCGTGAGCTGGCACCAATCCAGAACCAGAATAAATCGGTGGCTAAAACCTCTTATTCATCTCTCAAAAGTCCAGCTCCCCAGCAGGAACTTGGAATTTTTTGTTTGTTTGTTTGCTCCCTACTTTTGTTCCTTGGTCACCATCACATTTTAGAAGGGATTTGAAGCTGCTCTGTGGCTGGAGTTAAGTGCTTAGTAAAGTATTTGTTGAGGAAGGGATAGAAGAGTAAAATGATGGAATAGTCAGCGCTTGGCGAATGGTTAATGCGCCTGAAACTGACCAAAAATTGTTACTGAGCAGAGGCAGAACTGCAGTGTTGTCCACTGGCGCCACCTTCTGGAAACAAGTTAGAATAACAGGTCCGTTTCTGCAGCTCCAGCCTAAGGGCTTCTGAAAATGCAGACCAGGAACTGAGTCAAAAGGAAGAGATCCCAGCAAGTAGAAGGCTGAGGCAGGAGGATCCCAAGCTCAAAGCCAGCCTCAGCAACATAGAGAGACCCTATCTTAAAATAAAAAATTTAAAAAGGGTTGGGATGTGGCTCAGTGGTTAAGCACACCTGGGTTCAATCTCTGGTACCCCTCTTCACCAAGCCCCTAAAAAGAGAAAAGAAGAGAATCAATTTCAACAAAATCCCCTACCCCAGTCTCCTCTGCACTGGACCTCCAAGTTATTGTACTAACATTATTATTTTTAATAAAACATGACTATGACATATTAGTGCTGGTTTCAAGTGAACCTAAATGTGCTAAATGCTTTAGATGTATCTTCATTCTCATAGTAACTGCAAGAGACGGATTACCATTATTGTTGCATCTTTAGATATTAAATACCTGAGGCTCTCAAAGGCTTATAGTAGACTTATTATATCTAAGGAACTCAGCTAGTCAGTGACTAAATAAGACTCAAACTGTTCTGCCCGACTTCGGAGACTGTTGCGGGTGGAGCTCCCCAGAAATCAGACTCCAGGGTGGAGATTTGCTGTGGGAAGTGTATTGCAGAGTGCTGTCCAGGTCGTCTGTGGGAGGGAAAGGTTGAAAGTGCAGCCTCAACAGAGGCCTCAGTTGATGCCAGGGGCACATGGACCCAGAATGGCAAGGAGGCGCCCCGTCCCTCACAGTCATTGGATGCAGTCTGTCCCAGGAAAGGGGTATGAACTTGAACCAGGCTGCTCTCTTCAGCCAAAGGCAAGGCCCCAAGAGAGACTCAGCTGAAAGCTGTTGGCAACCAAAGTTCCCAGTCACTGGGGGAATAAATGCTTCAGCCGTGAAGTTGGATGGGGGAGGCGGGGTCTGGGCTGCATACCACAGTATCCCCTAAGAGCCCCTGTGCCCGTCCAGCACACCTGACTGCTCAGCGCATTCCTCAGTGCAATGGGGAGGCTTGGTAGGTAGACAAAGTCAGTGTTATGAATTGTGGAAGGAAGGATTTAAAGAATAAGAATGGTTCTGCCTGCCATCTACCCGGAGAACCTCTGACCCAGGCCATGCCTGCCATCCTGCTGCAATAACCAATGAACTTTGGTCTATTCATACAGAAATATGAATTATTTTATGAGTTCCAAACCCTTAATAAAGAAGTAAAATGCAAAATCATCAGCTGACCAGGCAAATGCATGGTGATGAATTGCTCGACATATTCAAATTAAAAATGAAAGAATTGAGGGTCACAATTGATTAATACGTGAAAACTGATTTTTTTTAACCTTTTAGGTTTTTATTATAGTTCTCTCTGAAAAAATACGGATCGCTTCTCCAATTTGTGTATCATCCTTGCATAGGGACCTGCTAATATTCTCTGTATGGTTCCAACTTTAGTATATGTGCTGCCAAAGTGAGCCCGAGAACTCATTTTAAAAACATAATTCTGTGGCAAATTAAATTGTTTAATAAAAATATTTTACTCATCTCATGCTACTTCCATAAGAGTTTAATGGTGAAAAAAAATATGAAAGGAACTTTAATCAGTGTGGCTACACTAGGAAGACAAGGGGGCCCAAGTCCTCAACCCTTCCTTCCAGGAATTGACAATGACTTTGAGGTTTGATAGACAGGGGAACGAGTGTGAGGGTTTGGGGCTTCCAAAGCCAGAAGTCTTTCATAGCTGCAAAACAGGTAATCTTGGGTTGGCTTGGCCTGGTCCATCATTAACTCAGGATTGTTCAGGCAGGGCTTTGCCCAGGATAAGGAAGTTGCTGTTGTCTGGAGGTAGCTTCCACTCATCTCAAGATGTTTATTATTCAACCCGGTGGTTCCTGGAATTTAAGGTGACTCAGAGCAAAGGAGACAGATGCAAAATGGAGGCAGAAATGCCAAGTCTTGAAGCCTGCATTTAGTCACCTATCAAACATTTGCAGACAAAAGTGAAGAGGCTAAGTCCTTACTGTATTTCCCCTCAAGGGGGGGGGGTGAATTTTGAGGGACATCGGGCTTGGTCTCATGTCTTCTTAGCCCAGTGCAGAACAGTGTGACTTCCTCATCCCCTGACATTAGGCTTGGCTGTGACTTGCTTTGCTCAATGGGATCTGAGCAGTTGTAACACAAGCTGAGGCTTGAAATGTGCTTGCCCGGCTGACTTCGCACTGTGGTTCTTCTGCCATCCGACAGAACATGTCCTGGCTAGCTCACTAATCTAAAGAAGATGAGTGACACGCAGAGCAGGACTTGACCAGCCTGCAGCTTACAGCCAAGCCCCACAAGCCTCGCTGAGTCAGCCGCAATCAGCCAACTTGCAGAAGTGTGAGAATAAATGATTGTTATTTTATGCCACTGAATTTTGGGGTGGCCAGTTATGTGATAATAGCCAACTGATACACATTTACAAGGTTGTAGAGGATGATGTACGACTGTGTAAAGAGTAATTTTGACTATGACTTTTCCTTAAGAGCTGTCTTTAGACCTTAATCTCTCATAAGATGTTGACTCATGTACTTTTATATGATAGATACCACAAAGTGTCTCCTAATAAATGCCTCCCTTACTTTTACAAAGCCATGAGACATTCAGGGTCCCCAAACCCCAGACACAGGACTATATAAAACCTGTGAAGCCCCTTTAAAGGGTGAAACTCTAATGTCTGTCATCAGGATACTGGGCAGAGATGAGCCTCCCTGAGAGCCAGGTGTCCTGGAACTCACAGAGCAGAAGCACTCCCCCTAGAAAGCCAGAGACTCAACTGCCAGAGAAGGGTGTCAAATAAGATTCCGAGGTCATCTCCCTTGTACCTAGGTACACGGTCCGCCCCCTATCCCCACCCCCCCAAAAAATGCCAGTGGTCCCAACCTCCCTTACAGTCATGTCTGGCCATGAAATTGGGTTCTGTCCAATAAGATGCCAAATAACCACATAGCAGAGTCTAGGACCCTTCTTAAGAGACAGGAGGATTTCGCCCAGTACCTTCCACTTGTTCCCCTGGTGGCTTCTTCCTTCTTTCTGACTTGGATGCAGGATGTCAGGAGTTGGGACAGCCCTTTGGACCATGATGTGAGCTTGGAAATGGTAGTTTATGCAGAACGAAGTAAAAAAGATTAAAGTTCTCATGGTACAAGATTTCATGGCACAAACCACCAAACTTCCTACCTCCAATTTTTGCAAGAGAAGGGAAACAACTTCTAAGTGGCTAAAGTCCTTGATATTTTAGCATCTCTGTTATTCACAGATGAACGCTTCCAACTGTTGACAATCCATAGTCCCCATGTTTATTAGAAGAGAAGAGGTCTTTCTTTGATGTTGTTGTTGCTTTTAGTAGAAAAAGAACCTCACAGTCAGGAGCAGCTCCATGATCCGAGCAGACCAAGGAAAAACACCGTGGCTCCCCTCCACTCCTGCAGTGGATAATGACAGGACAGGATGACAGCACTTCTGCTCCTAAAGTACTCTTCCACCACTGTGGTTGTCAGAAAAAATCCTTCTCACACAGATTGCTTCTTCCTGACATTGCTCACTTCTCCATCCGTGTCTTGAGTGAATATATCAGATACAGATACATCTTGAACCTTAACTGAAAGAGTCTGGCAAACGCTTTGCTTTTCAAAATTATCTTGGGAAGGTAAAAGATTAAGAAACACAGAAAGGAAAGGTTAAAACTGTTACTAAAATATTTTTGGTACTGAACAATAGAAATCATTGTCTCACGGTTCTGGAAGCTGGAAGTCAAAGACCAGGGTGCTGGCTCGGGTGGGGGCTGGCACAGGCAGCTCCAACGAGGGCTCTCTTCCTGTCTTCTACCAGCCACCTTCTTGCTGTGTAGGGATGAGTGAGTGAACACAATAAAAATTCTTGAAATCTCCAACAACCAATCTATTATTGAACTAATAATAGAAAAAAATATACCAAACGAAAATGGTAAAATATCTATGGACTAGTCTATTAAAAATGTGCCAGATGTCTACTAAGAAAACTATAAACTTTTACAATGAGACACAATGGAAATACTGTATATATTACCTTCCTGGATGTGAAAGACATAATACCAAAAACAAATCAAGGAGCTCAAAGTGAATATATAAACACAGCTCCATGCCCATAAAATACTACAAGAATTTTTCATAAGGGTCGATAAGCTGACTCTAAGACTTATTTGGAAGAATAATTGTGCAGTATGACAAAGGGAACTTTGGAAAGAAATAGAAGAGTAACAAAGGACACAACATCTTCAGTAACTAAAACAGTACTGGAATTTACAAATACATGTACAAAACAAGAATCCAGAAATGAACTTATAGGGATTTATTATATATGAAAATGTTATTCCAGATAATGGGAAAATAGTGGGACATTCGATAAATGTCACTATGACAACTGGATATCCATTTGGGAAAACAAATTGATTTGATTATACCTCATCCCATTTTCAAATATAAATCTCAGAACCAAATATAACATTAAAAATCCTAAACCAGGTGTGGTGGTGCACATCTGTAATCCCAGCAACTCAGGAAGCTGAGGCAGGAGGATTGCAAGCAGAAGGCCAGTCCCCATCCAAAATTAAAAAGGATCAAAATATAGGACAGGGGATATAGCTCAATGGTAGAACACCCCTGGGTACAATCCCCAGTACTGAAAAATAAGAGACAGAATTTGTTGGGGTTTTTTTTTGTTGTTGTTTGTTTGTTTGTTTGAGACAGGGTCTTACTATGTTGCCCAAGCCATCCTTTAACTCCTGGGCTCAAGGGATCCTCCTGCCTCATCCTCCCGAGTTGCTGGTACTAGAGGCATGTGCCACTGTGCCTGGCAAGACAAATTAGTTTTTTAAAGGAAGTTTGTAAAAATGGAAAATATAAATTGCCAATAAAATATGTAAAAATGCTTAGTTTCACTAAAAATGAAGGAAATGCCAATTAAAAATACCAAGCATGGTGACACACATGCCAATAATTCCAGCTACTTGGGAATCTGAGGCAGGGGGTTCATAAGCTTAAGGCCAGCCTGAGTAACTTAGTGAGACCCTGTCTCAAAAATCAATTTTAAAAGAGCTTAGGATGTAGCTCAGAGATACAGTATTCCTGGGCTCAATCCTCAGTACCACACACACACACACACACACACAAACCCTTACCATGTTTTGCCATTATTGCCAAATGACAAAGTCATTTCTTTCAGTGTGGGTGGGAGAGCGGGTGGATATCTCCTATTTGTCTCTTCAGTTTTGCTCTCTGCCCTTTTCTACCTCCTCTGTGCCCCAGGAGTCAGGCTGCATCAACAGATTCCTTCTGCCATCTGGTGAAGGTGGAGGTCAGCCCAGTAGGAGACAGAGGGGACAGGGTGTTTCAAGGCCTTCATTCCCTGGCTCCTTCCTTGTGGAGCCACTCCCACAGTCCCTCTCCACGGGACTCTTCCTTCCACTAAGAGCCCTCTCTCCCACATCCTTCCAACCTTCAGGGGTAGTAATAGCCCCTCTTACTAGTCCCAAGTACTGCACTACTTTTTGCATACAGTCCCCCATTAAATTCACCTTGAAACTCTCCTAGAGAGTGTGCCACATGAGGATACGAGAGAAAATGGGCACACTCCTTTGGAGAAGTACTCATCAGCAATTTCACTTCTCTGTATCTACCCCAGAGACTCACTTGCATACATGTACAAAGGGCAAGCACATGGGTACTTGCAACACCCTTGTTTGCCATAATAAAAAGTTAGAAATAATTTAATTGCCTTCAACTAGGGAAATAGTTGAATCAACTATAGTACATCCATTGTATGGTGTGGTATGTAGTTATTTTTAAAGGAGGCATCTATTTGTAGCATAAACATCTAAAATATATTTTTGCTTGAAGGAAGATCAGAGCCATAATAAATAGCATAAAAATGATACCTATTTCCATAGTATTATGTATTTCATAAAAGTGTAGGAAACTGAGTACACTTGTAATCCCAGAGGCTTATGAGGTTGAGATAGGAGGATTGCAAGTTCAAGGCCAGTTTCAGCAATTTAGCAAGATCCTACTAACTTATTGAGTTCCTGTCTCAAAATAAAGAATAAAAAATGCTGAGGATGTGGCTCAGTGTTAGAAAACCCCTGGGTTCAATCCCTGGTATAAAAAAAAAATGTGGGGAACTTTTCACTGCCTCTCCCTGTAGAGGGATTATACCATCCCACCCCACTGAAGATAGGCATGGCCATATGATTTGCTTCAGCCAAGGGCCTGTAAGTGAAAGTGACATGTGACTTCTAGCCAGAAGCTTTAAGAGGCTCCACTATTCTTTCTTTTTCTTCTGCCACGAGGTCAGCAGGTCTCTGCTGCCCCTTTAAACTGTGTCCAGAGATACAGCTGAAGTCAACCTATAACAAACAAGTGAAGGATCAAGATATAAATCTTTATTGTTATAAATAGCTGAAATTTTCAAGATGTTTGTTATTGCAGCACAACCTAACCTACCATGACTAATATATACTGCTGTATAATTGATCCAGTTACTTCTAGGGAAGAGAAATGATGCTGGGAGTGATGATCCCAGGAGACTTTATATTTAATATTTTAATTTTCTTACAACAAAAATATATTCATGCATCACTGTGCAATAAAAATACAGTATTTAAAATGAATACAGCAGGTGTTTCCTTACTTAAAATTAAATGCTAAAAAAAAATCATTCTTAAAATAAACACATAAACACCCAATAAAATAATGGTTCTTTCTGCCCAGCTGGCACTCTGAAGGAGACTGGAGGCGGAGAGCTCTGTGAACTTTCCAAAGCAAGAGGAAGTACTGGAGCGTGACAATGTCTTGCCACCTTCTCTGCAGGTAGAAATCTGCAGAGCCTAGACACACTGTGAAATTTATTTCTAGTCCAGATATCATAAAATTGAAACACAGCTTCGGAAACCCTTTTTTTAAAAAAATATGAATAACGTCTACCTTTCCAGTGACCTCATTTATATGAGAACAAGAGTAATTATATGACCAAAATTCAATTCAGATATTCTAGGAAAACTCTATTCTCCTTGACACAGCCAACCCTTACCTAGAAAAGTTAGTAAGAGATATCGGAGCTCTGTTTCTGATTACACCCATAGACCTCTCTGAGTCAGACTTTATTGCATTAAACTAAAAAGCCAATATTGGTTGGATGGATATCAAAGGCCTCATGCAAGTTGATATGTCATAGACAGCCTTGCAATTTCAATTTCTCATTCAAGCCAAATAACAGCCTTCTTGTCTCTGAACTTTACTTTTGGGCAAAATCAAAGGAGCCAGACTCCCTGATCCATTGCTCAGTATTCAGCTTCCTGTGTGTCAGGCAGTTATGGTGACAGCTTCAGAAGTAGCAATAGAAGCCCTGACTTTCAATCACTGTTACGGTGACTTTGAAACAAAACTGCCCCCGCCCCCTGATATCTTCAAGACCAGCTCTTGTCATGAGTTTGCCAGTACCTAATTCCCTATATTCAATACCTTTCTGCCTAGAACGCCTAGAGTGGTTTCTTTTTCTGGCCTCTACACATGACCCCAGCTGAGAACAGGTAGGAAGGTAATATTCAGACAGTGCACTCATGGATGAAAATAGGAGATAGAAAGAAAAACCCGGTAAAATTAGAAAACCATCCCACAAGGTCAAATATGTGAATAGTTTGAGTTCTAGAAAGTGGAGATATAGAAAATAAGGAGAGGAAGGAAGGAAATATTCAAAGAAACAATTCACAAAAATAACCTGGAACTGAAGAAAATGGACTTTTCAGATTGGGAGGGATCACTACGGAACAATTAGACCTCAGGTACCTCCTGAGATGATGTGATAGCAAATATAGGCTCCCACCTATGTGATACTCTTGCTGAGGACTGAATTGTCCTCTAATCGGGTCTCCAGATGTAACTACCAGTTCATAGAACATTTCAGAGATAGTGTAACATTCTAAACAACATCATGAGGCCATGAAACTTTAACCAATAAATTGCATAAGGAAAGGAATAGCAGGGGCTGGTACAGATCAAAAGACATAAGTAAATATAAATGTAGTGCAGAGAACTTGTTCAGATCCTGATTTATTTATTTTCTTTTTAATTTTTTATTTTGAGACAGTGTCTTACTAAGTTGTTTAGAGCCTCATTAAGAGGCTGAGGCTGGCCTCGAATTTGCAATCCTCCTGCCTCAGCTCCTGAGTGGTTGGGATTACCTGTGTGCGCCACCACACATGGCCTTCAGATACTGATATAAATAAGTCAATAAAAATTTATTTTTGAGATAATCAGATAAAATTGAACCTGGACTAAGTAAGAAATTATTGCTAATTTCCTTTAGTGAGATGATGGAATTATAGTTACATTTTTTAAAAGCTTAGAGCTCCATACCAACATATTTACAATGTGATATGATATCTGGAATTTGCTGTAAAATGCTGCAAAAGGGATAGAATAGTGAAATAAAAACTAGGTGATGGATACAAAGTGGTTTATTGTATTATACTTTCTGATTGTTTTTAAATTATCATAACAAAAAGTGAAAGAAGAAAGCAATAAAGGAGGGAGGGAAGGAGGCCCAGGAAGGAAGGAGGGACAGCAGTGAGTGTCCCAAAGTCATTAAAGCTGAGATTTCAGAATATCAGAACAAAAGGCAGCTGGAGGAGGGACAAAACAGAGCTTTACAAAAGATCGAGAATCAGAAAGGTATCGGGTTTTGTGATAGCAATGCAGATGCTAGAGGAGCATGAGAACAGTCTGCACAATTATGAAAAAGTGACCTGCAGCCTAGAACCTTGTGTCTAGGCTAAGTATCGATGATACGTGAGGGTGGAATAAAAATGCCTTGAGATTGGTAAGGTTTCAAGAACATTTATCAAGCCGGGCTTGGTGGCGCACACCTGCAATCCCAGCAGCTCAGGAGGCTGAGGCAGGAGGATGGGGAGTTCAAAGCCAGCCTCAGCAAAAGCAAGGCACTAAGCAACTCAGTGAGACCTGTCTCTAAATAAATTATAAAATACCCACTTGAATCAAATGTATGAAATATGATATGTCAAGAGCTATGTAATGTTTTGAACAACTAATAATAATAATTAAAAAAATAGGGCTGGGGATGTGGCTCAGTGGTCGAGTGTCCCTGAGCTCAATTCCCAGTATCCAAAAAAAAAAAAAAAAGTTTATCTCAACTTTTTTTCCTCAGAATGCCTCCAAAAATAATGAAATAAATCAATAATCAAACATACAGGACCCAGTAAACAAGTCATCCAAACTAAGAGAAGAAGGATGATCCACCACAGGATGATAATGAAGGACTCCAAAGTGACAGCCAAGGCTTAGAGGGCAATCAGGTGGAACTGGAGCAGGTCAGACAACCCCAGAAAGATTTCTTCAACAAATTGAAACTGACAGAAAATCTAATGAATTTGAGCACATGGAGAAGAGACTTAGAGAGCATTTTGCTAGCCTGTAAGTACTTGAGATAAGGATTTTTGTCTGTCTTGTCAAGTTCTGTAACCCCAAGTTCTAGAACAGCACCACACATAGAAGGGGCTTGTAAACAAATATTTGTGGAATCAATTAATGAGTTAACATGTGACAGGGAGACAATATGTGGTATGCAGAACAGCCCCCAAAGATGTTCATGTCCCACTCCTGGAACCTATGAAGATGCTATGTTTCATGTCAAAAGGGACTTTGCAGATGTCATTGACATGTCAAAAGGGACTTTGCAGATCTTAAAACAGGGGGAATATTCTGGATGATCTGGGTAAACTCAACCTAATCCCATGAATAAACTGATCACACGACCCCTTGAAAACAGAACTTTCTGGGGTGGAAAGACGTGATGGAAGAAGCAGCAGGACAGAAGATGTAGAAGGGGAAGGCGATTCCTGGCTGCACGGCTAAAGCGGGAAAGAACACAGAGAAAGCATGAGCCGGGTCCCAGGCCGCCCAGGGGAGAAGGTAAGTGCCCTGGTGATTGACAGAAGGAAAGCTGCTGTGAGACTGGAATTCAGTCAACAACCTCCAGGAACCTGGAAGTGGATTCAACTCTCGAACCTCCAGAAAGGAACGCTGGCCAGTGGACACCTGGACTTCAGCCTGGTGAGACTCTAAGCAGAGGATCCAGTGACCCACTCTTGACTCACATGGAACTGCGGCCTAAGAAAGGGGAGCGGGGCTGCGGCTCAGTGGCAGAGCACTTGCCTAGCATGTGAGAGGCACTGGGTTTCATTCTCACACCACGTATAAATAAATGAAAATAAAGGTCCATCAACGTCTAAAAAATTAAAAATTAAAAAAAAAGAGAGATGGGAACTGAAGCTGGGGGTGTAGATCAGGAGCACAGCACTTGTCTAGTATGTGCAAGACCTTGGGTTGGATCCCCAGCAAAACACACACACACACACACACACGCACACACGCACACACGCACGCACATGCTGGGGTTGTGGCTCAGCAGTAGAGTGCTCACCTAGCACAGGTGAGGACCTGGGTTTGACCCTCAGCACCACATAAAAGTAAATAAATAAAATAAAGGTATTGTGTCCAACTACAACTAAAAAATAAACGTTTAAAGAAAAACAATCTTCACCTTTATGCAAA